GAGGGGAGGATTGCACACATCAGCGATGCTTCCAAGAAAAAGCACGGTGCTTGCCGGCGTCGCACCGGCGTCGCTGTATTTAAGTTTAAACAATTATATAGAAAAACGGGCTATTATTTACAACAGTAAATAGTATATAGATTGTGAAAATGTATGTTTATGAAGAATTTTAATGAATCTTATATTGTACTCCCTCTATTCACTGTTATAAGATGTTCTAACTTTTTTCTAAATTGAATGTATGTATGTATAGACGTGTTTTAGTGTGTTTGTTTACTCATTTCAGTGTGCATGTAGTCCATATTAAAAATATCCAAAACATCCTATAATAGTGAACAGAGGGAGTAGATGCTATATTGAATCTAAAATAAGTTTGACTTAGGAAAAAAAAAAGAACTTCACATAATTTTGAACAGATGAAGTACTCAAAGTGACCAATCATGCACTATCCCAACCAGCCTCCATAATTTGGGCCCATAATTTCAGCACTATTTTGTATGCAGCCTGGAACTTTTTCAAATGCATGGAGTGACCAATTCATATTTTTATATGGTAGTGTGGTCCCAATTTCTTCTAAAAAAAGGTGAAGTCCCTATTCTACTGATTTTTGTTTTTTTTGGGGTTTAATTCTACTGATTTTTGTTCGAGTCTAGAACACCCTACTCTACTGATGGGCCAGAGTACAGTCCACCAGAGTCTCAGGGCCAGAGCCCACAGCCCGCAGGGCAGCCCACACCACCATGTCCTCTCTTCCCCACAGTTTCCCCGCTTCCCTCCTCTCCACTCCCCCTCGCCGCGCCGTCACCGTCCGCCGCCTCCCCTCCTCCCCATGGACACCCCGCCGTCCACCTCCGCCTCGGCCGCAACCGCGTCCGACCCGGACGCGGCACTCGTCGCGGCCGTGGCGGACGCGCTCGTATCGGCGTCCCGCCTGCCCGCCCCGGTGCCCATGCCCACCCTCCTGGCCGCCTACCTCCCGCGCCTCACCGCCTCCCACCACCCGCGCGTGCTCGCCGTCGCGGCCTCCAACCCGGCGCTCGCCTCGCCGGAGTCGCTCCTCGCCTACCGCAGCTTCCTCTCGCCGCCCTCCTGCCTGCCCTCCCTCCTCCCGCTCCTCCCCGTCCTCCCCTACCGCCACCTCTTCCCGCTGCTCCTCTCCTTCGTCCCGCTCGACCCGCTCCGCCACCTCCACCGGCACCTCCTCGGCCACCTCCCCTCGACCCCTCTCGCCGACGCCGCGCTCTGCGCCTACTCCCGCCTCCGCCTCCCCCACCTCGCCGCCCAGCTCCTCCACTCCCTCCGCCGCCGCATCCGCGTCCGCCCCTCCCTCCAGGCCGCCAACGCCGTCCTCTCCGCGCTCGCGCGCAGCCCCTCCACCTCCCCGCAGGCCTCCCTGGACGCCTTCCGCTCCCTCATCGCGCTCCGCCTCCACCCCAACCACTACACCTTCAACCTCCTCGTGCACACCCACTGCTCCAAGGGCACCCTCGCCGACGCCCTCGCCACGCTCTCCACCATGCAAGGGTTCGGCCTCTCCCCCGACGCCGTCACCTACAACACGCTCCTCCACGCGCACTGCCGGAAAGGCATGCTCGGTGAGGCGAGGACTCTGCTGGCGAGAATGAAGAAAGAGGGGATCACGCCCACGCGGCCGACGTACAATACCCTTGTGTCGGCTTACGCGAAGCTGGGGTGGATTAAGCAGGCGACCAAGGTCTTGGAGGCCATGACGGCCAACGGGCTGGAGCCTGACCTGTGGACGTACAATGTGCTTATCGCTGGGCTGTGCCAGGCAGAGAAGGTGGATGAGGCGTTTAGGCTGAAGGATGAGATGGAGCGGCTCGGCACTTTGTTGCCTGATGTAGTGACCTACAATACACTCGCTGATGCGTGCTTTAAGTGGAGGTGTTCGTCTGATGCACTGAGGCTGCTCGAGGAAATGCGTGAGAAGGGGGTGAAGCCGACTTTGGTCACACATAACATTGTTATCAAGGGGCTTTGCAAGGATGGGGAATTGGAGGAGGCGTTGGGGTGTTTCAAGAAGATGGCAGATGAAGGTTTAGCACCAGATGTGATCACGTATAATACGTTGATTGATGCATACTGCAAGGCTGGCAATGTCGCCAAAGCATTTGCACTAATGGATGAGATGGTCGGTAGGGGACTCAAATTGGACACCTTCACGCTTAATACCGTGCTATATAATCTGTGCAAGGAGAAGCGTTATGAAGAGGCTCAAGGGCTGCTACAATCTCCATCCCAAAGGGGTTTTGTGCCCGATGAAGTCAGCTATGGCACAGTGATGGCAGCCTACTTCAACGAGTATAATCCGGAGCCTGCTCTGCGTCTGTGGGATGAGATGATTCAGAGGAAGTTGACACCAACTATTTCGACTTACAACACATTGATCAAGGGGCTTGGCAGAATGGGGAGGTTGAAAGAGGCGATTGATAAGTTGAATGAGCTCATGGAGAAGGGGTTGGTACCAGATGACACCACGTACAATATCGTCATCCATGCCTACTGCAAGGAAGGGGACTTGGAGAATGCCTTCCAGTTCCACAACAAGATGGTGGAAAATTCCTTTAAGCCAGATGTTGTTACTTGCAACACTTTGATGAATGGACTGTGTCTGCAGGGGAAGCTTGACAAAGCAATGAAGCTCTTTGACTCATGGGTAGAGAAAGGGAAGAAGGTTGATGTTATCACATATAACACCCTAATACATGCTATGTGCAAAAATGGGGATGTTGATGCTGCTTTGCATTTTCTCGCTGATATGGAGGTCAGAGGATTGCAGCCTGACGCGTTTACCTACAATGTTGTGTTATCTGCACTATCTGAAGCAGGGAGACCAGAAGAAGCGCATAGTATGCTGCATAAGTTATCTGAGAGTGGAAAATTGTCTCAAAGCTTTTCTTCTCCCCTCTTGAAGCCTTCTTCTGTAGATGAAACAGAGTCAGGGAAGGATCACGAGGGTAATACTGAGGAAGAAACTGGTGGAAATCCACAAGATAGTGCTCTGGAGGCCTACACGAAACGCGTAAATGAGCTATGCACCGGTGGGCAATTCAAAGAAGCTAAGGCCATTTTGGATGAGATGATGCAAAAGGGAATGTCTGTTGACAGTTCAACGTATATAACTTTGATGGAAGGGCTTATCAAGAGGCAGAAAAGGCAAACACATGCAGCTGGGTAGTACATACCATTGATCTTTGCTGCTCTTTGATGTGGCATCAGCCGGAGTTTAGTCATAAATCTGGTAAATTTGAGTGCTTGATATCTCGGAGGAGTGTGATGGACATAAAAGAAGCAGGTATGTGATCTGCTTCTTTCTCAGAAATTCACCACTAGAATCTTGTTAGTTTTTCAGCTGCAATACAAAGTAAATCATTTCACAGTCAAATCTACTAGATGTAAAAAGTATGTTATTGCAGTTTAAGTACATGTCTTCTAAACTTTTGCGCCTGATGAATTTACTGCTAGGTTCTCAGCCAGTGTGTGATGCAGCGCTCGCTGGCCACCTGCACTGTAGTTTTCCTTTTTGAGGGTTTCCTTTTCTTTACCAGCCAGAAATTGGAGGGCCACCCCCTCTTTTTTCCAAAAAAAGAAACATGTTTTCTAAAACCTGTCCGAAGGAAACAGCTTATACAGAAAAGCTTTATGTTATCTGCAAGCGCAAGCTCCGGACCATAATTGTTGTATGCTGAACAGCATGTTTGGTTGCCAACATACTTACCTGGTACTTTGTCAATTAAAATGGATGTTAACTTTTGCATGTTCTAGGGCCATAGTGTCCGCCATTTGTCTCAATGCTGTCAAACTCTTAAGCAAAGGGGTAATTGTAGCTAGAAAAGGTCTTACCTAGTTTAGATCCTTGGCGTAATGTTGTGCTACCACACTAATATTGGCCGTCATGTGGCAAGTCCAGTAACCTACTTAATAGTTAATCGCCTGCCCTGTAGACTGAAGGTCAGTAACTCGGTTTACTCCTGTTACTTTTTCTTCACGCAGCAAATTCTAGTCCGCGTTCAGTGATGTTGGATCTTTGCTTAGAAGAAAATTGATCATCATTGTGAGTTGTTAATATGCGAGAATTACCCTCTGTCCCTCTGCGAAAGCCCGAGAAGTTCACGGTGAACAAGATGGCTGAAGTGCTCAAATGTAATGAGTGCATCATACTCCAGTTTTCAACCTGTCATGATCATACCTAAATAAGAAGGAATGAATTAGTCTGCTTCATAGAAAGATGGCTTAACCACTCTTTTTCTGTCCCTCGTGAAGAAAGGAGCCAAGCATAGGACACTGCTGTATGGTCACGCACGGCCCACGCAGTGGACTATGGGAAGGTAGATACACATACCTCTCATCAGCTCATTGTAATTTTCAGTGGACTATGACGGCCGTTCCACAGCTAAGTTTACTGCCACATGGTCAGTATTTTAATTCACCTGTTCGGTGCGGTGTATATATACAAGACTTCACAAATGGACAAATGAATGCAGGTACTGCTTTTGTTTCTGTGTTCCGTGACCGAGTGACTGGTACTTCTGCATTCTTTTTGTCAATGCGAGTAGTGGCCACTACTATACTGTGATGTGACTGTGACTTGGAATTTGGAAGCTTCAGTCAACTTCTTATGGCTTGAGACGGCCGGTATTTTATATCGGGCCTACTCATACTGTGTCGTCTTTGCTGATCTTATGGGCCTGTTCATAAGAAAAAACAAGTGTTAATTTGATTCGCACTTTGGAGAGAAGCGTTCAGGTTCATTTGATACCTACAACGGAAGTTGAGAACTTGAGGCGAGGTGCTTCCTTACTTACTCGCCCTTGACCGACTACGGAGGGAAGAGATTCCAGGCGAAGAATGTTGGCATATTGTTGAAACCAAGCGGCTAGTTATAAGATGCAATAGTTCTATGGAAATAAAATATTGACTTTTGCTCCCATTTCGAACGGATACCACGCTAGGTATATGTGTTCATCAGTCACTGATGTGTAAAACTCCTTTGCCCTCGACGGAACGAAACGGGACGGTGACGATGGGCGGCGGCAGCAAGGACATTCATTTCTTGATCGGCGGTGTCTTGTTGCAGTACCACATTCACATGTTGATTTTTGGCCTGTTGCGCGCGCACTTTTCTGCCACGGTAGTGTGCCCAGCGCACAGCATTCTGAATACAACCGCATCACGAGCCGGCCCCTAGCAGCTCGGGGCGGACATTTGTAGCAGCCGTGCATATATAGGTTATTGAAACCGACCCCACGGATTCACATGACGGACTTCCGCATAGGCATAGGCGTCGTATGCACGGCCACTGACCGCGTGTCCGGGCCGGGCGCGCCGGCATCGGATCGCCTCCTCTGAGGAATTCCCTGTCGCCGCCACATGTAACGCCAGTCGCTGTAAAAGTTTCTTGTTCCGGCTCCACGTGAACCCCTCGGCCCCGTAGACGACGCTAGCCGGTTCACATGCGGCTCACAGGCGTCAATGCACGGCACAGTCAGTTCGTCAATAGCAGCAGCCGCCCGTGCTGAATGCTCTGAAATCTGAATGCCACTACCAAAGCACA